GGGTTGCTTTATAGAAGATATGACTTTGTTCTAGAATGTGTTATTCCAGACAATTGTCTCAATCTTTTGAAAAGTTGGTTTTCAAATTCTCTGCCCTAATCATGGTGTGATTTTTCAGGATATCCAAATCTGGGAATGAAGTCATTAAAACTTTCTCTGCTGCAGTTTTCCCTGATTTGTTGCGTGTAGGGTAGGCCTATGCAAAGTGAGTGAAATGATCAATGATAATCAATATGTATTCATTACCACCTCTGCTCTTCTCTAGGTGAAGAAAGTCCACTGAGACAAGTTCAAGAGGAGCACTAGATTTAATAAACCCCAATGGTGCCTGCTCTGGCACTGTTTGTGTGTTTCTGTTTCAGACAACTACATATTTTTGTGACATAATCCGATACCGGCTTTTGCATGAATGACCAGGAAAATCTTTCTTATGCTTGCTGGATTACTTTGTCTGCATCACAATGGCCCATGTCATTATGTAGGTGTTTCAGCACCCTCTGAATTAACTGTTCTGGAATAACCATTTTTTTGTGTCTATATGATAACTAAATGCCATATCATATAGTCAGTTTATTCCAGTTGTTTTTCTTTTCCATCTCAGCACCTCTTGTCGACTTTGGTGGGTTCAGTATTTTTATTCTTAAAGTGGAGCTCTGGGCTCCCCAAAAAAATTAAGTCAGCAGCTACAAATACTGCAGCTTCTGACTTAATATAAAGGCACTTACCTTTCCAGGGGTCCAGTGATGTCTTCACCCAAGCAAATTCTTCAGTCGGTTTGGGTGCTGGCGCCGGCATCTTAAGTAAAGGAAACTGGCAGTGAAGCTGGTTCCAAACTGCACCTGTGCGAAGTGCACTGCGCTTTGTTGTTGGGCCAGAGTCTTCCAGGACCTGTGAAGTGACCTGGAAGTGGGACAGATCACTTTGGAGATCTGAGCTGGAAGTTCAGCCCCCCTCCTAACCCCCGCTGCCTTCTAGGACACTTCACAGGTCCTGGAAGACTCTGGCCCATCTTACAAAGTGCAGTGCACTTCGCACATGTGCAGTTGGGAACCAACTTCACAAATGTGGCAGTCGAGGAGGGGAGGAGGCAGACAAGCGGAACTTCCCCTTATGGGGGGAGTTCCGCTTTAAGGACAATGATAGCATGTATGACCTTGTCCTGTAGCTGGGCAACATGAAGTTTATCCTTTGTGATGATTTCCTGAATTTCAACATTCTGAAAACTATTTGCATCTGTAACTTCTGGTTGCAGAGCTAGTGACAGTACCCAGAGACCTTCGTCATCTACCACTGCCCATACACCTTTCCATACAGCAGAAATAGTGTGTTACATGATCAGATTAGCAAACTCTTCTTCATCTTGAAGACTGCATAGTGGATTTCTAGACAAGCTATCAGCATCCGCATTTTTTTCTAACTGGGAGGTATTTGATGTCAAAGCCGAAATCAGCTAATTCCCTTACCAAGCAGTGTCCAACACGGTTTATTCTTGCTGAACTGAGAACATATGTGTAGCGCTACCCTCTTGAGGGTCTGTCCAGAGTCTGCCTTGGAAGTACAGCCCCTGCTGACACCACCATGAAACTTTGACCAGGAGCACTCCCTGACTTTGAACCATAAAATAAACACACACTTTAAAGTGAGTAAATATTCTGATTGTATTTTTTTTTTTTTTTGATAAATATTTATTGGTTTTCAATCAAAAATAATTAACAAACATTTTCTTCATAAAAAGATCATTATATTCCTCGTAATATATTTAATTCCCACAACCCTAAATCCCTCCTGAACCCCTCCCCCATCCACACCCATCCTCGTAACCCCCCTCCCCCCTCCCACCCACTCTGCCTTTTCTTGTCTATTCCGAGAGAGAAAGAGAAAAAAAAAAAAGAAAAAATTATCCTTTTCTTTCTAAAACTCATTTCTAAAATACCTTATTTGCTTCAAGAGGTATAAATCAAGTATATTTCACTTTCTGTCTAAATTCTTACCATTTTCCCCACTTTTTATAGTACTTCTCCTCCATCCTGTCTATGTGTGTGTAATAAAGTCTTTCCATCTCACATAACTGATTCATTCTGATAAACCAATCTTCTTCCGTCGGCGCCTCCCTTTTTTTCCAAAACCTAAGGATCAAGCTTTTGGCTGCACTCAGAAAGTACCAATTCCCTGAATCCTTATATGATCTCACTGTAAACTCAGAGATATGAAGAAGACATAACGCTGGATCCAATCTAATATCGATCTTAGTAATTTTCCTCATTAAATGTACAATTTTCCCCCAGAACACCTGTATCTTTGAGCATTCCCACCATATGTGGTATAGTGTACCCACTTCTCCACAACCTCTCCAACATAGTGGAGAGTTCTCCCCGTTCATCTTGTGCTCCACAATCGGTGTAATGTGCCATCTAACTAAACACTTATAATTTAATTCTACTTCTCTCATACTAATATTTTCGTGAGTTAATCTAAACATTTTCCTCTGCTGTTCCTCATCTATCTCCCTGCCCATATCTTTTCCCCATTTCTCTACATAAGTTAATTTTGTGTCAGTGTCTAGTGCCGTTAAGATTCTATATATTTTGGCAACTCTGTGTCTCCCATCTCCCCGTGTATCTAATAAACTTTCAAATAAATTCCACTCCTTTCTAATTCTCACCGGTTTTGGAAGATTCTCAAAAAAGTGTTTTAATTGGTGATATCTGATTGTATTGAGGTCAGAATATAAAGAGTGCAAGCACAACAAAAATGACAGTAGAATTAAACACTCTAAAAGATTCAATGAAGTAATAAAGCACAGTATCATTTTAAGTAAACCCAAATGTCCTGTAGGATCAGAATTTAAATGTCAATTTTAGCTTCTGAGATATCACTCCCCAAGTGAGCTGAAGTGAACTATCAAGATGTCAGGTTAACTAATTTTTGGGTTCTCAGTTGCTGGTAACTGGGTTTAACTCTTGAGAAGAATAATTTTGCTATAAACAGCAGTGTCCCCTTTTGTATCTCTTTAAGGAATGTTAACAATGTCACAAACAGAAATGGATCACCTTATACACATAATTACTTTCTTTATAGTGGAAGTGCAGGCCACATGGAAAAGTGCATCAATTTGAGTTCCCATTACTAATATACAGGATACTAAACAGAGAAAGTGAATGTCAGAACAAACACAAAGCTGAACAGAGATAGCACAATCCAAGTGTGACTAACCAGTATCAAGGGGAGAACAGAAAACACATGAGCTCACTTGCTCGTTCCAAGTTTAATGTGAGCTTGTTGGTTGTTAGTCTCCTGCTGTCATATTACAATTCATTAGAGCTCCCTCTAGCAGACTAGTAATAGCATTACTGGAGGTTTATTAATTTACTTTCTCGAGCAAAAGAAATTTTGGTAATGTGGTTATCGTTCAGAAATTACATTCCTTTTAAAATCGAATGCTAAAAGCAAAGGACAATTTTTGAACAACATTCGTCCATTCATCGAATGTGCAAAGAATTTTCGTACGACTTTTCTTACAAATATTCTCGTCCAGTTTAAATCAGGGCCATACACATGAGGATTTTTGGCCAAGAATAATAATTTCAAGAATACTTGTTTGATTTTCTAATCAGTAGTGGGTCAAATCAATGTTCATTTTTGACAGCAGTGACGGAAAAATTCAAAGGGATGGAAAGAAAAACTGTAGATGCTGAATTCTAAAAAATGTACACTCAATGTCCCTCAATCTCGCGGTGTCCTCCTTGCAGCCTGTTTCACTGACTGCCCCATGTTCCCAGCGCTGGCACTGTGGGCACCCAGCTGTGACAGTTTGCGGTTTCACTGCGCATGTGCAAGAAGCTCTGCACTTTGTGAATGGTCCTGCAGTTTTCTGGGACTTGTCACGTATCCCAGAAGACTACGGGGAGGGAGGGGGGGAGGACAACTTCCCCCTTCGACGAGTGAAGTGGAAGTGGGAGCGGGTACCTGTCAATTTTGGGTACCCGTTTCTCCCACTTCCCAAAGGTGCCAATCCTTAACATGGAGCGGGAGACCAGTCCTTAAAGCAAAACTTCCCCTTTAGGGTGGAGCTCTGCTTTAAATTTATTTTCAAATATTTGTTCGATTTTGTTTTCAAATCAAATTTTGGCCGCATTTTGTTTTGTTATTTCGGATTCATTTAAATTCGTTATTTTTGTAATTCAGAATTCTCATACATCCGAATCTCCGAATAACAAAAACATTCATCCAAAATTCGATTTGAAAAGAATCCCACATGTTTACTACAGAAAGCATCCAAGATTAGACCAGTTTCACACAGGCTTCGGTTTGTATAAGGACAAGCAGTGTGAACAGCAAGCTTTAACAAAGCATTTGCAGAGCTTTCAGCAACCTTTGTTGAAGCTTTTAAAGTACCATTCAGCTCCAGTTTATAAACGATGGACAAAGATCCTAAGGGCAGTGCTGAACAGGCTTTCAGAAAAAAAGCTTTATTAAGTGCTAGCAGCTTGCTTAACCACTTGCCCTTCAGAGGATTTACCCCCCTTCCTGACCAGGCCATTTTTTTGCTGTTCAGCACTGCGCTATTTCAACTGGTAATTGTGTGGTCGTGCAATGCTGTACCCAAACAAATTTATGTCCTTTTTTCACACAAATAGAGCTTTCTTTTGGTGGTATTTTATCACCTCTGCGGTTTTTAATTTTTGCACTATAAACAAAAAAAAGACTGCAAATTTTGAAAAAAAAAACCATTTTTCACTTTTGGTTATAACAAAATATCCAATAAACTCAAAGTTAGTCATAAATTTAGGCTAAAATGTATTCTGCTACGTGTCTTTGGTAAAAAAAAATCTCAATACATGTACCGTATTTTTCGTTCCATAAGACGCACCTGACCATAAGACGCACCTAGGTTTTAGAGGCGAAAAACCAGAAAAAAAAATATTCTGAACCAATGGACTGCAGACATAGTACAGGAGATGACCAGAGACTGCGGACATAGTACAGGGGAAGACCAGAGACTGCAGACACAGTACAGAAAATGACCAGAGACTGCAAACACAGTACAGGAGATGACCAGAGACTGCAGACATAGGAGATGACCAGAGACTGCGGACATAGTACAGGAGATGACCTGAGACTGCAGACATACTACAGGAGATGACCAGAGACCAGGGGCGGACTGACAACTCATGGGGCCCCCAGGCAATAGGGGATCATGGAGCCCCTGTGTCCTTGCCCAAACTCAAAAAAGCTTATGAAAAAGGTACCAGGGGCATCTCATGGGGCCCAATACTGACCCCAGGCCCTCGGGCAGTGCCCGAGTTTCCAAATGGTCAGTGTGCCCCTGCCAGAGACTACAGACATAGTACAGGAGATGACCAGAGACTGTGGAAGCAGTACAGGGGATGACCAGAGACTGCAGACATAGTACAGGGGATGACCAGAGACTGCAGACATAGTACAGGGGATGACCAGAGACTGCGGACACAGTACAGGAGATGACCAGAGACTGAAGACACAGTACAGGGGATGACCAGAGACTGCAGATATAGTACAGGAGATGACCAGAGACTGTGGACACAGTGCAGGGCATGACCAGAGACTGCAGACATAGTACAGGGAATGAGCAGAGACTGTGGACAGTACAGTGGATGACCAGAGACTGTGGACAGTACAGGGAAAGAGCAGAGACTGTGGACAGTACAGGAGATGACCAGAGACTGCAGACAGTACAGGGGATGACCAGAGACTGCAGACAGTACAGGAGATGACCAAGAGACTGCGGAGGGGGAGCGGGCACCTGAATTTGACAGGTACCCGCTCCCACTTCCGCGGAGTTGTCCTCCCTTTAGTGCGGGCACCCGGCTAACAGCCGGGTGCCCACTGAGCATGTGCGAGAAGCGCTGCTCTTTGTGAATGGCCCGGTGTCTTCTGGGACCTGTCATGTGTCCCAGAAGACTCTGGGCAATTCACAAAGCGCAGCGCTTCTCGCGCATGCGCAGTGGGCACCCGGCTGTCACAGCTGAGTGCCCACACTAAAGATGCCGGCGCGGGAAGACTGTACAGCGCTGGACTGAGGAACAGGTAAGGTACTGCTGCAGAGAAGAGCTGAGCAGCCGGCCCGGTATTCTGACACGGTCACGGTGGCGGCGGCAGAAATACCGGACCAGCCCCTCCATATTCGCTCCATAAGACGCACTGACATTTTCCCCCCTTTTTTGGGGGGAAAAAAGTGTGTCTTATGGAGTGAAATATACGATATATTAATTGGTTTGTGTGAAAGTTATAGCGTCTACAAACTACGGTATATATATATTGGAATTTACGTAGCTTTTACTTTCTGACTGCCTATCACATTTCTTGAGGTGCTAAAATGCCAGGGCAGTACAACCCCCCCCCCCCAAAATGACCCCTTTTTGGAAAGTAGACACCACAAGGATTTTGCGGACAGGCATGTTGCATCCATGGAACATTTTGTTTTTTTGAATATGACAATTTATTTTTTTTTTACACAAAGTTGTCAATTTAATGATATATTACTCATGCATGCCATGGATATATGTGGAATAACACCCCAAAACACATTCTCCTAATTCTTCCGAGTATGGGGATACCACAAGTGAGAGACCTTTTGGCAGCCTAGCTACATACAAGCCCCCAAAATCCAATGACCACCTCTAGGCTTTCAAAGAGCATATTTCCTCATATCACTTCTCCACTACCTATCACAGTTTTGGAGGCTCTAAAATGCCAGGATAGTACAAAACACCCCCCCCCAATGACCCCTTTTTGGAAAGTAGACACCCCAAGGAATTTGATAAGAGGCATGGTTAGTAACTTACAGATATAGTTTTTGTCACACGGATTTAAAAATTAAAAAAAAAAAAACAAAACACATTTTTTTTGTTTTCTTTCTTCGTTTTCCAAAGACATGGCAACAAATGAGATCTGCAAAACACTCACCATGCCTCTTAGCAAATAACTTGGAGTGTCTACTTTCCAAAAAAGGGGTCATTTGGAGGGGTTGCTTCTACTATCCTGGCATTTCAGGGCCAACATTAGACGCTTATATCACACATCACCCACTCTTGAAGACCAGGTTTTTTGTTAGAAAATTACTTTGAACCCCCAAGCATTATATATTTTTTAAAGCAGAGGCCCTAGAGAATAAATCAGTGGGTGTTTAAAGTCTTTACGTCACACAGTATTTGTGCAGTGATTTTTCAAACGCAAATCTTTTGGGAAAAATACACTTTTTAGAATTTTAATGCACAAAAACAGAATATATTGCCCAATTAGTTGATGTAATGTAAAAGATGATGTTATGCTGAGTAAATAGATACCAAACATGACATGCTTTAAAATTGCGCATGCACATTCAATGGCAACAAAGTACATACATTCTTATTATCGATAGGCAACGCTTTAAAAGCCTTTACAGGTTTAATAATTTATATTTACACAGGAGGTCTAGTGCTAGTATGACTGCCCTCGATCTGATGTTCACGGCAATACCTCACATGCATGGTGCAACCGCTGTTTACATACCAGAACAAGGTCAACATTTGGGCATGCAGGTGCACGCTCAGGGAGGCAAGGGTGCTTTTTTTTTTTTTTTTTTTACATTTTTCTTTATTTTCAAAAAAATTATGACAAAAAATTACAACCTCAACAAACTTGCCATGCCTCTTACTAAATATCTCGGACTGTCTACTTTCCAAAAAGGGGTCATTTGGGGGATATTTGTACTGTCCTGATATTTTTGGGCCTCAAGAAATTAGATTGTCCATCAGTACTTCAGGGACTGATCAATTTTCAGATATATACCATAGTTTTGTGAACTCTCTAAATTTCCTACAGACTAAATAATAAACACTGATTTGGGTTATCTTCACCAAAGAAATATAGCAGAATACATCTTGGCCTAAACTGATGAGCAGCTATTTTTTTTTGCAACATTTTATTACAGAAACGAACAAAAACATGTTGTTTTTTTTTAAAAAGTCAGTCTTTTTTGTTAATTTATCAAAAATAAAAAACCCAGTGGTGATTAAATACCACCAAAAGAAAACTTTAGTTGTGTGAACAAAATGATAAAAATTCAGTTTGGGTACAGTATTGCATGACCGTGCAATTGTCATTCAAAGTGCGAGAGCGCTGAAAAATGAAAATTGGCCTGGGCAGGAAGGGGGTAAAAGTGCCCGGTATTGCAGTGATTAAAGAGTAACTCCACTTTTATTATGAAAAAGCATTCCCTTCTCGGTGATCAATGTACATTGCAGGGATTTTAACAAACTTTGTTGCAGATTCCTACCTGTTTCTCCTGTAAAGGAATAGCTGTTTATTCGTCTATGTTTTTTGGGTACCAATTCTCTGTGGGAGTCACTTTTTCATTATTGATCAGCTGATGCAGTTTCAGTGTTCTAATATGGAAAGTTGCAGTGCCTGCATACTTTCATATGTGATTAACTCTTTTTAGGAGAATCTCACCAAAAATGTCATGTTTTGTTTAAAATCTGACTTGTATCTTAGCGCAGACTTCTGGGACAATCAGTAAGCCAATCACACCAGCAGGAGATGACACTTCTGAAAGCATTCTGTACACCAACCATGTACAGAAGGCCCCTAGGTTGCCATATTGCATTGCATTTTAAGGGAAAATTATGACTGCAGATTAAAAAGGAAAGGTAATTTCTAGCTTATGAGGCAAATGTATATGTTATATTATTATTTTTTTTAATGCACTATATTTCATCCCAAAAAAGTGGTGTTACCCTTTAAGATGACGTAAAGCACTTTTATGTCTTTCCTTGCAGAAAACCTGTCATAAAATAAATATGGGCAGCATAGTGGCTAAATGGTTAGCACTTCCACCTGTACTAGGGTCGTTGGTTCAAATCCCAATCACGGCACCACCTGCCTGTAGTGTGCATGTTCTCCCTGTGCCTGTGTGGGTTTCCTCTAGTTACTCTGGTTTCCTCCCACACTCCAAAGACATGCTGGTAGGTTAATTGGATCCTGTCTAAATTGGCCCTAGTATGTGAATGTATGAAGGTAAGTTAGGGACCTTAGGTTGTACACCCCTTGAGGGTTAGGGACTGATGTGAATGTACAATATGTATATGTGTAAAGCACTGTGCAAAGAAATTAGAAATCACACTGCAGCAAATCGCACATGTTAAGACACTGACATTCACATTTATTAGATGCGATTTCAATTCACAAATCGCACCTGAAATCGCATTGGTGTGACTGGGCAGTAAGGTTGCATTGGCTGACCTCTCAAAATACTTTTAGTAGTCTGGTCAAGCATGCAGCTAGTGAAGGTTGAATAAAGTCAGAATTCTTGATATGTGTATCTGTTCCAGGTCATGACTCTGAATTTTTTTTTCTCTCCTTCTTCTGTCAGGAGGCTCATCAGCAGAAGAAGTCATTGGCTCCTGCTGCTGTCAATCAAATCCTGTGAGTAGAGAGCATAGGTGGATCTGAGCCACACTGTCTGTGTCAATAGATCAATCCAGTAGGTTTGCTTCCATCGGAAGCGGCTTGATATGAAGGCATACAAAGGAGAGGAGGAGCCTGCAGCAGCAGAAGAGGAGGTTTGGGGCCGCTCTGTGAAATATCATTGCACAGAGTAGGTAAATATAATGTGCTTGTTATTTTAAGAAATAAAAGTAGTACATTCACAACCTGTAGAAATAAGAAGGGCTACCCTGACTGTAGGACACCTTGCCCACCCAGAGTGGTTAGCAGGTAAAAGCAGCCTCAGCTCGATTATTCCAAGCCATGCCCCCAACATGTTTCGTCCCGACCAACCACTGGGGCCTAATCATGGAGGTCATCATGGGGGAGGGATGAAACATGTTGGGGGCATGGCTTGGATGAATTTGAGCTGTGGCTGCTTTTACCTGCTAAAAACTCGGGCCAGGCGAGGTGTGTGGTGGTCGGGATATCTTTTCCTATTTCTACAGCGTACTTTGGGTCTGGACAAACCTTTCCCTAGCCTGCACCCTAACTAGTCAGTGGCATCCAATGCATCGGACCTTTTTAGCCTGGGGGGGGCCACTAAGCATTTACCTTTACAGCCACTTTAATAATGCCCCCCCCCAGCCCAGCTGCAGGTTAGTGCTTGGACTGGAGCAGGAGAAGGGAGGGGTGTGTCTGTGCCCAGCTGTGTAACCCAACTGGCTGAATGAAAACACTTTACCAATTCCCTCATTCACACACACAAGGTAGATGGGGGAAATGCTCCTCTCCGCGCTTTTGTGTTTGGACAGGATAGCGAGGAGACTGCTTTGCTGTTGGAGCAGCTTTTTTCCAGCAAGTTCATTCAACAGAAGCCAACCAATAGATCGACTTCTGTTGTGGCCACACATGGAAAGAAATTTGGCCAGTCCCTGCTGAACCGCCCAACCTTAGATCCACCTATGGTCAGCTTTAGCAAACAAAGGATTTCCCAACAACGCTTACCAGTCAGCCTGCAAAACAACCAACCTTGCCCTGTCTAACAGTTTGCTTTAAAAACATAGGGTTTTGATTGCACACTTGCAAATACATGCATAAGCCACAGTCCCACATCAAGGGTCCTCTGTATACTGTGGACCTAAGTAAAATTTCCAAAGCCTCCATAGTAGGAGCACATGTATAAATAGATAGGTTAAGGACAGGTGTGCTTGGAGGAGACCATCCCTCCTTAAAGGTATAGGGATGCACGTGATGCCCAGCTTTACCAAAATGACAGCAAAGGCATCCAGTGCTTCCCTGCATCCAAATTAGCCAACCACAATAAAAATGGCAACTGTCCCAACCTATAACCAGCCTTAGCAGTAAGGTGCACATGGAAGGGCAATGCACATCACAAACAATCCTCTGTTTTTAAGGTAAAGTTAGACAAGGCCAAATTGGTTGTTTTGCAGCCTGGCTGGTAAGTGTGCTGGGAAATCCTTTGTTTGTTTGTAATGTGCATTGCCCTTCCATGTGCTTCTTAGTGCTAAGGCTGCTTACAGGTTGGGACGGTTGTAATTTTTTGTGTATGA